CCCGTAGAAAAGAATTCGTCCTCGAATTCAATCAAGGGAAAAAAAGGAGAGGCATCAGATACTCGAACAGGTCAGAGACATTGAAAGTGGGAGAAATGCGGAGCTTAAGAGGAAGGTCGATGATATAGGCATTGTCGCTGATCTTCTTGTTGATGTGGAATGGGCCTAATTTCCTTAGTTTCAATTTATTGTAAGTGCCAACAGGGAAACGCTCATTCCGAAGATGAACCATCACTAAGTCGCCTTCGTGGAACACATTTGCTCGACGATGCTTGTCAGCCGCCAACTTATAGCGGGCATTGGCTTCAGTGAGCTTCTTATGGACAAGTTGGTGGTTGAAAGCCACCTCGTTAGCGAGGGCAACAACAGTCTTACTATGGGATTTTGGAGGCTAAAGGAGGTCGACAATAAAATTGAGCACCTTAGTGTAAATAACGGAGAAGGGAGACTGACCAGTGGAGCGGTTAACCATGGAGTTGTAAGCAAATTCAACTTGATCAAGGGCGACGTCCCACCCTTTTGGCTTGTCACTAGCAACACAACGCAACATGTCGCCTAAGGTGCGATTCACAACTTCTGTCTGCCCGTTAGTTTGGGGGAGACAAGCGCTACTAAATTGCAAGGTCATGTCAAACCGTCGCCATAACTCTCGCTAGAAATGAGAGATGAACTTGACATCTCGGTCAGAGGTGATAGAGTGAGGGACGCCATGAAGTTTGACCACCTCGCGAAAGAAGAGGCCAGCAACATAACTAGCGTCACCTGTTTTGCGGCAGGGAATGAAATGAGCCATCTTGGAGAAGCGGTCGACCACAACCAGCACGGAGTCGACGTGGTCAGCAGTCTTGGGCAGCCCAAGAACGAAGTCCATACTCAAGTCAACCCAAATAGTCTTCGGAATAGGGAGAGGTGTGTAGATGGCAGTGTTTTGAGAATGGCCCTTGGTTGTTTGACACACACCACAACACTCGACAAAATGAGCGATATCACCCCACATGTGCGGCCAAAAGAAGCGCTCATGCAGGAGAGCAAGGGTCTTGTCACGACCAGTATGTGCGGTGAGACCACTGGAATGAAGTTCTCAGATGAGTTGCTCTCGAACAGAGGTCTTTAGCATGCAAAGTTGGTTCCCCCTGAACAGAAACCCATCGTGAATGAAGTACTCGCCATAAGGCTCCTTGTTCAAACCTGTTTTTGGATTTGGCCGGGGCTCTTCTGTGAAATGTTGCCATGCGGGAGAAGTTCACAGTCTTTTTCCCCTGCTATGTTCCCCAACTTTCTCGTTGTGCACTGAAGTATTATCAACCGGAGCAGTTTTTGGTTCAGTGGGGGTGGTGTTGTGGGCCAACATTTCATCCTCGTAAAATGCCTCATCACCAAGCTTAGGGAGAGTAGTGAAATAGGAAAATTTGATGCGACCATTTTCTGAAAAATAGAAACTAATGTTAATTCATTCATTTATAAAAAATAAATAATATAAATAAACTTGAGTAATATAATGTTATGTAACAAAATTTATAAGTAGAATACCTTTTTTCTGGGATTTCTAGAAATTGATTAAACTTACTAAATGAAAGAGTAAGAAAATTAGTAATTGAGAGAGAAGAGCTTAGAATCAATATCAAAGAGACAAGATGAGAGATAAAATGAGAGTGATAGGAGAAGTTGAGAGTGAATTATTGTGTGGGATTAGGGGTATTTGTAGGGTTTTTTAGGGTCAATTTTTGGCTTGTGACCATTAGGCACGCAAAGGGCCCAACGGTCACAAGTCTGGCGGGCTGGGAGGGCTTCTGGTGACCCGCTTCGCGGGCCGAACACGTGCTTAGGCCAAATTGGGCTTGGGCCAGACCCCGAGGCTTTAAGGGCTAGGGTCGGGCCTGGGCCACGGGCTGAGAAGCTGAGGCCCAGTCCTAGCCCATCAAACGTGCCAGGCCGACACAGCTCGTAATAGTACCGTACTGGGTTGTGCCGAACCCGGTACTGTTAC